TGCTTCAGGAAGGCGGGACAACTCAAATCGGCGAGACAACTCAAATCGAGGGCTTCCAGGCTTTAGTTAAATTGAAACATTTTCTGATTGACAATTGGTTGCGTTTGTCTAAATACCTGGGATCAATAGAGAGGAAATGTTCAGGTTAAGATAAAGGACTGTGGAGAACAGGGTTCTTTTGAAGTCTTCGGCTGGCTGCCCTCAGATAATAGACGACAAATGTTTTCTATTCAGACATTTAAAAGGTGCTAGATGCTTACTTACTCTCTTTAGGATTGGGAAGGCCTAGAAGAAAAAGATCTAGCTATGTTAACAGAGATTCTTTACAGATGCACATGAACCCCTCACAAAGAACAGCTTTGCAGGACCATTTCAAAATATGGCAAGAAACAGGTTTTGGGATAAAATATTTTGACTTTCTTTGTTACATGTTACACCAAAGTCAGACTGGAAAGTAAGACAGGATATATAGAATTAAATAAAACCCATCTGATGAGTATTTATGCTTTGTAGGGCATGACTCCCCAGACCCCTTAGATAGGAATTTGGGCAAGTTAAAAAAAATCAGAGCTTAGTCCTCATTCTCATATCCTTTTTTTTTTTTTTTTTTACATTTCTTCCCTGCAATATAATAATTGTACAATAAACATCGTTGAAAACATATCAATAATTTCTAAATGTATTGTAATATTAAATTCACTTTACGTGTCTTCTCTAATTAGAAAATGTATATTTTATTTTCAAGCTGGAATTTTTTTTTTTTTTTCCTGGAGACAGGACCTAGTTATATATCCCGGCTGGAATACAGTGGTGGGAACACTGCTCACTGCATCGACCTCTAGGGCTCAAGCAGTCCTCCCACCGCACCTCCCAACTAGCTGGGGCCACAGGCCGGGTTTTTAATGTTTTGTAAAGGCAAGGTCTGACTATGATGCTCAGGCTAGCCTTGAACTCCTGGACTCAAACAATCTTCCCACCTTAGCTTCCCAAAGTGCTGGGATTGCCGGCAAGCCACTACACCATCCAATTGTAATCTATTTTGGGTGTTTTCTTTGTTCTTTCCTGAGTGTTCTATCAGGTGTGAATAACAAAGACTGTAAAATAGTCTTCAAACATTGGGTTTTTTCTTTTTTTTTTTTTTGAGACGAAGTCTGGCTCTCGTTCACAGGCTGGAGTGCAATGGCATGATCCTGGCTCACTGCAACCTCCGCCTCGCCATGTTAGGCTGGTCTCAAACTCCCGACCTCAGGCAATCCACTGGCCTCGGCTTCCCAAAGTGCTGGGATTACAGGTGTGAGCCACTGCACCCAGCCTCTATGTTCCTTTTAAAAAAATCATTCTAGCTATCTTGTTTAGGAATAAAATGGGAGGGAGGTTTGTCTGTCACAGTTCCCAGCTTGACTTTTCTCTTTGGCTTAATTTTTATTTTCCTTTCACAAGCTTGTGACAGACATAATGCTTTGACACACTGATACTGCTTTATATAGATTTTCCATAACAGTAAACACAAATTAAGGTACTCCATGGAATTACATTATTTGACTTTTTTTTTTAAATGAAAGTCTCACATATTTATTACTGAACCCAGCCACCCAACACGTTCATAACAGAAAAAAAATATGTATTCCCAATAAAACGTGTCCAATTCTCCAGATAATGGTGACATTTTCAGCTTGATATGGTAACATGATTGTGACACTCAGACAGCATAAATGTGTGTGCCATCTCATGTGCAATTTCTAATAGACACAGCTTGGTTCTTGTCCAATGTCTCCTTTTGGAGTTGTACCTGATTTTCTTACCAGTTTTCATCTGAATCCACTAGGAAATGGAACAATTTTGCTTTTGTTTCTTGGCCAGGAATCGCTTAATCCTGGAAGTGTTGTGAGAAGATCTGGTGAGAAGCAGAGTTAAGTACACACCACGATGGTGGAGAAAGGAAAGAGAAGAGGCCTGAATTTTTTTTTTTTTTTTTTTTTTTGAGGAAAGTTCCGCTCTTGCCCTGGCTAGAGTGCAATGGCACCACCGTGGTTCACTGCAACCTCTGACCCTGGGTTCAAGGGATTCTCTGGCCTCAGCCTCCCGTGGAGCTAGGATTAGAAGTGGCCGCCACCATGCTAAGGAAAGAGAGAGACCCTCTCACATTGTATATTGTTTTATACTCAGTACCTGTTTTAAGAAAAAACAAGGAAGTAAAACCAAAGACAGGCAGCCTGGCGCCAGGCCCAAAACCAGGCCTGGGCCTGCCTGGCCTAAACCCAGTAGTTAAAAATCAACTCATAACTTAGCAACTGATGTTATTCATAGATTCCAGACATTGTATAGAAGATCACTGTGAAACTCCCTGCCCTGTTCTGTTTCTCTCTGACCACCGGTGCATGCAGACCCTGTCACATACCCCCTTGCTTGCCAAATCAATCACGACACTTCCATGTGAAATCTTTAGTGTTGTGAGCCCTTAAAAAGGACAGAAATTGTGCACTCGGGAGCTCGGATTTTAAGGCAGTAGCTTGCCGATGCTCCCAGCTGAATAAAGCCCTTCCTTCTACAACTTGGTGTCTCAGAGGTTTTGTCTGTGGCTCATCCTGCTACAATGCCAGCTAACTTCTATATTTTTAGTAGAGACCAGATTTCACCATGTTAACCAGACTGTTCTCGAACTCTATTGTTTCTGCTGTTAGCTGTCAGTCCTCTTCATTGCGGCATGAACAAGATTTATTTTTTTTTCTGTAAAACTGATGTGGTCTGCCTGCTGCTCCCTGCATCACCTTCAACACTGTCTTGTCCCAATTCAAAATGAGTTATCCATTTACAAACTGTTTTTTTGGGCATTGTCCCCATAACCTGTTCATAAAGCATCAATATTATTTCTCTACCCAAACTTTCCCACAAGTATTCTTTTTTTCGAGATAGTATCTCGCTCCGTCATTGCCCAGGCTGGTCTTGAATACCTGAGCTTATGTGACCCACCTGTCTCAGTCACTGAAAGTTCTGGGATTACAGGCCTGAGCCACTGCATCTGGTCTCATTGTAAATTTGATGTTTCTTCTTATTTCAAGTTTAGTAGAATTGATATTGCTTTGATAGAGTCTCTTTTCAAACTCATGTCTTATCCTTCTGAGTGCCTCAAACTACAGCCTGTTCAGACAAGCTATAACAGATTTGTACCAATTTATTTTGGTCCAAAAAGTGTGAAATTCATGCACAATTTTCTCATAATACGTATTTTTCCATGAGCTTCTTGAAGACCCCTTGTACTAGAAAAGTGTATTCAAAAGGATATATAAAAGGATTGTAGATATGCAAGTGCCACTTACTTCTGGGATGCAAGGATGGTTCAACATATTCAAGCAAATCAATGTGATATACCACTTGAAGAGAATGAAAGATGAAAACCACATCACCTCAGTAGATGGAGAAAAAGCATTTCACAAAATTCAACATCCAGTCATCATAGAAATCCTAAACAAAATAGATAGAGAAGGCAATCTACCTCAACAATGGAAATAACCAAGCACAGAAAATGGAATGCTTTTCCTATAGGATCTCACATAATTCAAGAATGCTGTCACCCCTTCTATTCAATAAATATTGTCTGCCCCACCCTGGCTAACACAGTGAAACCCCGTCTCTACTAAAAAAACAAAAAAATTAGCCCAGTGTGGTGGCAGGCACCTGTAGTCCCAGCTACTCGGTAGGCTGAGGCAGGAGAATGGCGTGAACCTGGGAGGTGGAGTTTGCAGTGAGCCAAGATCGTGCCACTGCACTCCAGCCTGGGCGACAGTGAGACTCGGTCTCAAAAAAAAAAAACACACACACACACACACACAACTGTCTCTCTTAGCCAGAGCAATTAAATAGCAAAAGAAATAAAACTCATCAAAATCAGAAAGAAAGAAATTTATATTTGTAGATGACTTGATATTCTGTGTAGAAAATTACAATGAGTCAACCAAAATATTACTGGAACTACTAAATAAATTCAGTGGATTTGCACAATATCAGCACCAAAAATTACATGAATTTCCATACATTAACAATAAGCAATTTTAAAAGAAAATTTAAACACTTCCATTTGCTAGAGAACTTAAAGAAATATGAATAAACGTACAAAGCCAAGAAGTTTGTACCTTGAAATCTACAAATGTTGATCAAAATGGTTAAAAACATAGAGATACAACCCATATTGATAGTTTTGAAAAATTAATATTGTTAAATAATTATATAACCCAATGTGATTTAGATTTAACACAATACCCATAAAAATGCCTATCAGTTGACATTGCACCACAAAAGTGAAAATGGCCTGTTCCTGCCTTAACTGATAACATTACCTTGTGAAATTCCTTCTCCTGGCTCACCCTGGCTCAAAAGCTCCTCCACTGAGCACCTTGTGAACCCCACCTCTGCCACCCAGAGAACAACCCCCTTTGATTATAATTTTCCATTACCTACCCAAATCTTATAAAATGGCTCCACCCCTATCTCCCTTCACTGAACTCTCTTTTTGGACTCAGCCCACCTGCACCCAGGTGATTAAAATGCTTTATTGCTCACCAAAAAAAAAACAAACAAACAAACAAAAAAATCCCTATCAGTTTTTGTTAAACAAAAAACAGGCTGGAAAAGTGGCTCACATCTGTTGGCCACACTAGTCTCAAACTCCTGACCTTAAGACATCTACCCACTTTGGCCTCCCAAAGTCCTGGCATTACAGGTGAGAGCCACCACACTCAGCCTAATCCTCTTAACATAAACAGTTTAATGTCAATTAATGCTTGAACTTAATGTTAAGTCAGCTCAAACTCGAGTCAATGCTAAATTGACTCTAATTCAATTAATGCTTGATGGTTTACTATACTCATTGCATTTGGAACTCAAATATAAATCAAAATCTCAAAAATAAATTTTCTGATATTTTGCAATGAGTGACTTCAGACTGAAGACCTTGCCACACGGATGACATTTGTAAGATTTCTGTCCATTATGGATTCCCTGATGTCTAATGAGGTGTGAACATGAAGTAAAGGCTTTGCCACAATCATCACACTTGTGAGGTTTCTCTCCTGTATGAATTCTCCTATGTTTTGCATAGGATGAAGCTTGACTGAAGACCTTGCCTCAATCATGACATTTGTAAGGTTTCTCTCCAGTATGAGTTCGCCGATGAACTGCAGTGTATGAATGATGTCTGAAGAATTTGCCACATTTACTACACTTGTAAGATCTCTCTTCATTATGGATTCTCCAATGATTTACAATGGTTGTAGCATTACTGAAGACTTTGTGACAATCATTACTTTAGTAAAGTTTCCCTATGCCATGGATTGCCTGATGGTGAATAAGCGTTGACTGTGCACTAAAGGCTTTGCCACACTCATTACACTTGTAAGGTTTCTCTCCAGTATGAATTCTAGTATGTTGTGCCACGTGTGAATAACACCTGAAAGCCTTGTCACAAACCTTACATTTGTATGGTTTCTCTCCAGTATGAACTCTCTGATGTTGTGCAAGGTATGAATCACTCCCAAAAGCCTTGTCACAAACCCTACATTTGTATGGTTTCTCTCCAGTATGAACTCTCCTATGTATTTCAAGGCGTGATTTGAAATTGAAAACTTTGTCACATTCTTCACATTTGTAAGGCTTCTCTCCAGTATGAAGTCTATGATGACATGCAAGTTGTGACTGTGTCCTAAAAACCTTGCCACAATCATTACACTTGTAAGGTTTCTCTCCAGTATGAAGTCTATGATGATATGCAAGACTTGATTTGTGATTAAAACTTTTGCCACATTCATTACACTTGTAACGTTTCTCTCCAGTATGAATGACCTTATGCATTACAAGAGATGAATTTTGAACGAAGGTCTTGCCACAGTCATTACACTTGTAAGGTTTCTCTCCAGTGTGAATTACAGTATGTTGTGCCAGGTGTGAATCACGTCTGAAAGCCTTGTCACAAACCTTACATTTGTATGGTTTCTCTCCAGTGTGAATTCTCCTATGTCTTTCAAGGTGTGATTTGCGACTGAAAACTTTGTCACATTCTTTACATTTGTAAGGTTTCTCTCCAGTATGAAGCCTATGATGACGTGCAAGGTTTGATTGTTGATTAAAAACCTTGCCACATTCATTACACTTGTAAGGTTTCTCTCCAGTATGAACTGTCTTGTGAACTAAGAGGGCTGAATTGCCACCAAACCTCTTACCACACTCGTTACACTTGTAAGGTTTTTCTCCAGTATGAAGTCTATAATGACATGCAAAGTGTGCTTTTTTATTAAAAAACTTGCCACATTTATTACACTTGTAATGTTTCTCTCCAGTGTGACATCTACAATGGCGTGCAAGGTATCGCCTCTGATTAAAGATCTTGCCACATATGTCACATTTATATTGTTTCTCTTCTAAATGGATTATCTGATGTTTTTTAAAGAGTGAGCGACAATTAAAGGATTTGCCATTCTCATGACATTGGAAAGATTTTACTTTCATGTGTACATCCTGGTTTTGTGTGAGTAATGAAGAATGGGAGAAATTATTCCCATAGTTATTAGAAACATGGGTTTTGGGCCTACAAGAAATTCTTTGGGTTGTTGGAACTGAGGAGGCATTGTTGATAGACTTCTCCACTTGATTATCAATTTTCCCTTTGGGCTGAGATATGTGCAGTTCAGGCAGATGCGAATGAAAGCTTGATCTAAGCTGATCTTTAATAGGCTTATTTCCAGCATGCCTTTGATCATATTTCTCTGTACTACCTGTCAACATTTTTATTTCTGTCATGGATACTTCATGGGCATTTGTTTCATCTTCTTGCCACTGAAACACAAAGTCATGAATATCTTTCTCAATTTCCTGGAAGCAACTTTCTCCAATGTGATGACTTGCTTGTCTTTGTAATGTCCCTGTGTGGACCACTTCTGTATTGCCTTGCCCTGTTGATGAGAACTTCTTCATCCTGCATTTGGAAGAGACAGCTACAAAATATAAACACCAATAGGTTTCCAATTAAGTACAGATGGTATATATTACTGAAATGTGTAAGTAAGACACCAAAAACAACACTGATTTTAAACTTCCCAAACATGAGCTTCAAAGTTTAGGAACACAAAAGGAGGAATATTCTTTATTAAATGAAGGGCGATTACATGTCCTTCAAATCATTTCTATGGAATTCTATTTCCAGTATCATGACAAAACACTGATAGGGCACAAACATGTATAAGCCTAAAGTAAGAAATATTTGTCCACTGTGACCCTAAAGTGTGTCATAGTTTGCAAAAAATTTATCACTGTCACAACAAGAAGAAGAAAAAAATATATTCTTCATATTTACAGCATATTTACTGTATAGAAATAAATGCTAAAGGACTGGACAATGTATTATATTGGTAAATAATCCACAACAAGTTCTTGTAAGGATAATCAAAATCAATGAAAATTCTGTATTATCAAACAATCATAGCACTGAGAAGACAACAAAAGATTATGAAAACTAGCCAGGTGCTGTTGCCCATGCCTGTAGTCCCAGCTACTCGGGAAGCTGAGATACAAGAATCACTTTAAGCCAAGAGGCAAAGGTTGCAGTAAGCCAACATCGCACCACTGCACCCCAGCCTGGGTGACAAAGTGAGACTTCGAGTCAAAAAAAAAAAAAAAAAAAAAACAGGGCGTAGGGGCTTACATCAGTAATCCCACTATTTTGGGAGGCCAAGGCAGGTGGATCTCCTCAGATTAGGAGTACAACCAGCCTGGCCATCATGGTAAAACCCCATCTCTACTAAAAATACAAAAAGTAGCCAGGCGTGGTCATGGGCACCTGTAATCCCAGCTACTTGGGAGGCTGAGGCAGGAGAATTGCTTGAATCTGGGAGGCGAAGACTGTGTGGTACATTGAGATCATTCCACTGCACTCCAGCCTGAGCAACAAAGTGAGACTCCATCCCAAAAAAAAAAAAGAAAATGTTAATACCATATTTTTCTGAATAACTGTTACAAAATTACCTATATCCACGTGGAACAGGTACTCTGTGACTTCTTAAAACATTTTTTGTATTTTTATTGTTTTGAGATGGAGTCTCGCTCTGTCACCCAAGTTGGAGTGCAATGGCACAATCTGGGTTCACTGCAACCTCAACCTCCAGGGTTCAAGCAATTCCCCTGCCTCAGCCTCCTGAGTAGCTGGGATTACAAGCACGCCCCACCATGCCCAGCTAATTTGTGTATGTTTAGTAGAGATGGGGTTTCACCACGTAGGCCAGGCTGGTCTCAAACTCCTGACCTCAGGTGACCCACATGTCTTGGCCTCCTAAATCCCAGGATTACAGGCATGACCCACTGCACCTGGAGGCACTTTTCACATTAATGAGTGGAATGCATCAGTTATATTGCATACCACGTACTGAAAACTCACATGTAAAGTCATAAAAATCAATAATAAAATATTGTAACCCACGATAAAACAAGCAAGAAACTAATAAGTAGATTTATACAGCCTACAGAATTTTAAACAATTCCCTCTTAAGAAAAAAGCCGGCCAGGCACGGTGGCTCACACCTGTAATCCCGACACTTTGGGAGGCCAAGGCGGGCAGATCACGAGGTCAGGAGATCGAGACCATCCTGGCTAACACAGTGAAACTCTGTCTCTACTAAAAATACAAAAAATTAGTCGGGCGTGGTGGCGGGCGCCTGTAGTCCCAGCTACGCGGGAGGCTGACGCAGGAGAATGGTGTGAACCCTGGGGGACAGAGCTTGCAGTGAGCCGAGATCGCACCACTGCACTCCAGCCTGGGTGACAGAGTAAGACTTCGCCTAAAAAAAAAAAAAAAACAACAAAAAAGAAAAAAGCCACAACTTGTTCTTACGACCAGTACACAACATAAGAGATGAAATACATGTTAACATCACTACCTTCTAATACATGGGGTCAAGAAAATATACAGCATTATAAGGAATAAGAATTGACTATGGCTGGGCATGGTGGCTCATGCCTGTAATCCCAGGACTTTGGGAGGCCAAGGCGGTGGATCACCCAAGGTCAGGAGTTCTAGAACAGCCTGGCCAACATGGTGAAACCCCATCTCAACTAAAAATACAAAAATTACCCAGGCATGGTGGCAGGTGCCTGTAATCCCAGTTACTCCAAAGAGCCGAGGCAGGAGAACCACTTGACACTGGGAGGCGGAGGTTGCAGCAGTGAGCCTAGATTGTGCCACTGCATTCCAGCCTGGGGGACTAGAGAGAGACTTCGTCTCAAAAAAAAAGAATTGAATAATGGCCGGGTGCAGTGGTGCATGCCCGTAATCACAGCACTTTTGGAGGCTGACGCAGGCAGATCATGAGGTCATAAGTTCGAGACCAGCCTGGACAACATGGTGAAACCCCATCTCTACTAAAAATACAAAAAAATTAGCTGTGCTTAGTGGTGGGTGCCTTTAACCCCAGCTACTTGGGAGGCTGAAGCAGGAATCATTTGTATCTGGGAGGCTGAGGTTGCAGTGAGCCGAGATCATGCTACTGCACTCCAGCCTGGGCGAGAGAATGAGACTCCATCTCAAAAAAATAAAATAAAATAAATAACTACTCTCCTCAAAGAAGCTTTGGTAGATTTGGCATTCTCTAATAGGATGTTCCGGCAGACGGAGACTTTGAGAGAATTGAGCCATGGGTGTTGACTACCAGTGAATACTAACAGTGCATTTATAAAGAGACATTAAAGAGCTCATTGCCTGTTCCTCTTTCCACCATATCAGGACGCGGCAGGAAGATGGCCGAGTTAAACCATGAAGAAGGCTCTCACCAGGAAACAATGTGGCTGGCACCTTGCTCTTGGATTTCTTGCTTTCCAAATTCATGAGAAATAAATTTCTGTATCTCAAGCCTCCCAGTTTAAGCTATTTCCTTCTTTGTTTGTTTTTGAGACTGAGTCATGCTCTATCACCCAGGCTGGAGTGTAGTGGCACGATTATCCTACCTCAAGTGATTCTCCCTCCTCAGCCCAGAGTCTCACTCTGTCACCCGGGCTGGAGTATGGTGGTGTGATCTTGGCTCACTGCAACCTCCACTTCCTGGGTTTAAGTGATTCTCCTGCCTCAGCCTCCCAGGTAGCTGGGATTACAGGTGCACACTACCATGAACAGCTAACTTTCGAGATGGAATTTCACCATGTTGGCCAGGCTTGTCTCAAACTCTTGACCTCAAGTGATTGGCCTGTCTCAGCCTCCCAAAGTGCTAGAATTATGGGTGTGAGCAACTGCACCTGGCCTATTTTTGACATTTAGTAGATTCGAGGTTTCACCATGTTGTCCAGACTGGTCTCAAGCTCCAGACCTCAAGCAATCTGCCCACCTTGGGTTCTGAAAGTGCTAGGATTAGAGGAGTGAGCCACCCCAGCTGGCCAGTCTAAGCTATTTCTAACAAGACAGTGAAATGACAGAGACAGGAAAAAGAGCATCTCATCATCAACATCACTGAAGCCCGACAAATCTAATGAAACAAAGGAAGTTTAGAGTCTGTACTGTAAAACTTGCAATACTTGAAACCATCTAATAGCAATAACATGTTTTATTTTATTTATTTTTATTTTTTAAAGACGGCGTGTCGCTCTGTCGCCCAGGCTGGAGTGCAGTGGCGTCATCTCAGCTCACTGCAAGCTCCGACGCCTTCCGGGTTCACGCCATTCTCCTGCCTCGGCCTCCGGATTAGCTGGGACTACAGGCGCCCGCCACCATGCCTGGCTAATTTTTGGTATTTTTAGTAGAGATGGGGTTTCACCATGGTAGCCAGGATGGTGTCAATCTCTTGACCTCGTGATCCGCCCCGCTCGGCCTCCCAAAGTGCTGGGATTACAAGCGTGAGCCACCGGGCCCAGCCAGTAATACCATGTTTTAAAAACACTGAGGCAGGCTGGGCACGGTGGCTCATGCCAGTAATCCCAGCATTTTGGGAGGCTGAGGCGGGAGGATCACGTGGTCAGGAGATTGAGACAATCCTGGCTAACAAGCTGAAACCCCATCTCTACTAAAAAACACAAAAAATTAGCCCAGTGTGTTGGCAGTCACCTGTAGTCCCAGCTACTTGGGAGGCTGAGGCAGGAGAATCACTTGAAACTGGGAGTTGGAGGTTGCAGTGAGCCAAGATCACACCACTGCACTTTAGCCTGGGTGACAGAGACTGTCTCAAAGAAAACAAAACAAAACAAAACAAAAATGAAAGAAGGCTAAACAGTAACTGCAACCCACAAGCACATACAAAGTTTTCCAGTAAAGGTAAATAAAAAAACAGATAGGCCAGGCATGGTGGTTCATGCCTGTAATCCCAGCACTTTGGAAGGACGAGCCAGGCAGATCACCTGAGGTTGGGAGTTCAAGACTACCCTAACCTACAAGGAGAAACCCTGTCTCTACTAAAAATACAAAATTAGCTGGGCATAGTGGCTCATGCCTGTAATCCCAGGTAGTCAGGAGGCTGAGGGAGGAGAATTGCTTGAACCCGGAGACGGAGGTTGTAGTGAGCCGAGATCGCAGCATTGAATTTCAGCCTAAGTGATGACAGCAAAACTATGTCTCATAAATACATAAATTAACAAAAGGACAGATACAGAAACTGGCATATGTGTACCTTTTCTTCATAACTAAACTTTTTTTTCATATTATTTAAAATTAAAAGTCATGAAAAAACACTAAATATATGCTAATGAAAATGCAACATACACAGAAATAATTCTGACAAATAAAAAAGTTCTCTTGGAGAAGAAGTAGTTTTTGCAGATTATGGATTTTTTTTTTTTTTTTTTTTTTTTTTGAGATGGAGGCTCAGGCTGGAGTGCAATGGTGCGATCCTGGTTCACTGCAACCTCTACCTCCTGGGTTCAAGTGACTCTCCTGGATCAGCCTCCTGAGTAGTTGGAATTACAGCTGCTCACCACTGTGCCTGGCTACATTTTGTAATTATAGTACAGATGAAGTTTCACCATGTTAACCAGGCTGGTTATAAACTTACCTCAGGTGATCCACCCGCCTCGGCCTCTCAAAGTGCTGGGATTAGAGGCGTGAGCCACTGCACCCGACTGGGTTACAGAAATTTTAAGTTTCATTATTATACTATAAGTTTAAGATGTTTAACATACCTGCAACAATAACCTTGGCCCAAATATCTATACAACACACTTCACTTCTGCATACTGAAAGGAATGGACACTAACGTAGTTGTTATATTCACCCTGGAATCATGCTTCAACCACTTACATGTTTACTAAGAACTAAAAGACAAAACTATCTAAAATAATAACAATGGTTGGGCACGGCAGCTCACGCCTGTAATCCCAGCCCTTTGGGAAGCCAACACAGGTGAATCACTTGAGATCAGGAGTTTGAGACCAGCCTGGCCAACATGGTGAAACCCTGTCTCTACTAAAAACACAAAGTTAGCTGGGCATGGCGGTGAGTGCCTGCAGTCCCACTACCCAGAAAGCTGGGGCACAAGAATCCTGTGAGCCCGAAAGGCAGAGGCTGTGGTTAGCCAAGATTACACCACTGCACTGTAGACCGAGCGACAGAGTGAGACTCTGTCATAAGAAAAGAAAGAGCGGAGAGATAAGCAGGGGCAAAGAAAGATGTCCTTTCAAAGATCTCAGGATTTAAACTTTTCTTTTCCCACAGAATTCTCCCACTTGCAGAGTTTCCCCACACACTAGTGGAAGGTGGAGCTTCCACTCTGCCCATCTGAGCTCTTACCTGCCTTTACACCTGTAATACATTCCCACCCAGCTGGATTTTGTTGCTATTTTCACTTCACTCTCCACGGTCCAGGGCTCTTTCCCTTGCTCCAACATGGAGACAGCAGGTCAGAAAGAGACTCCTGCTTATAAAAAGACAGGACCATGATGTGCTGGAGCTTTTCTAGAGTCTCAGCCCTACGTTTCTGTAGGAAAGAAGACATTACAGATGGATGTAGGAAAATATTTCACTGACTGCTCCACTGACTGCCTCCCTCTGAATGCTTGGGGAGCATTGTAATATGTAATATGTGGACATCGAGCTCTCTTCCAAGAACTACTGAATTGAAAGCACAGGAGAAGCAAACAGGGAACTGGATATCTTTAAAGTCGGCCATAAGATTTTGTTTTTGCTTTTTGAGACAGAGTCTTGCTCTGTCACCCAGGCTGGAGTGCAGTGGTGTGCTGTCAGCTCACTACAACCTTCTCCTCATAGGTTTGAGTTATTCTCTTTCCTCAGCCTTTCTAGGAGCTGGGATTACAGGCGTGCACCAACACGTCCGGCTAATTTTTGTATTTTTAGTAGAGACTGAGTTTCTCCATATTTGCCAGGCTGGTCTCGAACTCCTGATCTAAAGTGATCCACACACCTCAGTCTCCCAAGATGCCGGGATGACAGACATGAGCCACCATACCCAGGCTGCCATAAAGTTTTATCCCTACTTTAGTCCTGAAGCTCCCACAGAGGTATCATGAAGAATGCAGAACATCTAAACAAAGGGGACAGTGAAAGTCCAGATGCTACATCATGAAGCTTTTCATTTCAAAATCAATATGGCTTCCATTTTAGTCAAGCAAGGATGTGGCACCCAAGAGAAACAAGAGAAAATGCAAAGATTCACAGGAGCACATCCCCAGGAGGGAAGTTATCCTCACCCAGGGAGACCAGGTTCCTATAATTCTCCAACATCACATCTCTGTATAGAGTCCTCTGAGCAGGGTCCAGGCATTTCCACTCCTCCTGAGAGAATTCTATGGCCACATCCCTGAATGTCAACAGACCCTGAAATGAAAACATATTTTAACCAAATGGTTATGGGAGGAGTTCTTATCTTTACAGAAAATAAGAAGAGGAGAGAGGAGAAAGTGTGGATTTAATTGTAGTGAATGTTCTGATAAATCCAAGTAAGGGATTTTTTACCACATGACGTCTTTTTCTTTTCTTTTCATTTTTTTTGAGATGGAGTCTCACTCTGTCACCCAGGCTGGAGTGCAGTGGCATGATCTTGGCTCACTGCAAGCTCTACTTCCCAGGTTCACGCCATTCTCCTCCCTCAGCCTCCCAAGTAGTGGTGCTACTGGCGCCCTCCACCACGCCCTGCTAATTTTTTTGTATTTTTAGTAGAGACAGGTTTTCACTGTGTTAGCCAGGATGGTCTCAATCTCCTGACCTTGTGATCCGCCCGCCTCGGCCTCCCAAAGTGCTGGGATTACAGGCATGAGTCACCACACCTGGCCTCACATGATGTCTTTATTATACTTCTTGAAGAGGTCAAGACACTCTGTCAGTATGAATTTCTTATGTTTGTAAAAAATACAAGAAATAAATTAAAAAAATCAACGCAGAGTTTCTGTTATAGAAATGTTTGAAACTTTTATGGACACACCAAATGACATTCAGTAGCTGGATGAGACCAAGCACGAGTGATGTCTTCACAGATGATAACGCCCACAGTGAAAGATCAGTCAGACACAGTGACACGTGCCTGTAATCCCAGCTACGTGGGAGGCTGAGGCAGGAGAATGGCTTGATCCCAGGAGGCAGAGGTTGCCGTGATCCCAGATCACGTCACTGCACTCCACCCTGGGCAACAGAAACTCTGTCTCAAAAAAAATAAAAAATTAGCCAGGTGTGATGGCAGGCACCTGTGGTTCCAATTACTTGGAAGGCTGAGATAGGAGGATGGCTTGACCCTGAGGGTGGAGGTTGTAGTGAGCTACAATCACGCCAGGGCACTCTAGCCTAGACAACAAAGTGAGACCCCATCTCAAAATAAAATACATGAAAACAAAATTACTCAAAGTACAAAATCCATTTTGTAAATGTTCACAAAATAACTGAGGGAAGACAGAGATCCTCTCACATTGTTTTATACTCAGTACCTGTTTTAAGAAAAAAAAACAAGGAAGTGAAACCAGACAGGCGCCCCGGCACCAGGCCCAAAACCAGGCCTGGGCCTGCCTGGCCTAAACCTACTAGTTAAAAATCAACTACATTGTAGAGAAGAACATTATGAAACTCCCTGCTCTGTTCTGTTTCACTCTGACCACACAGCGCATGAAACCCCTGTCACGTATCCCCTAGATTGATCAATCATGACCCTTTCATGTGAAATCTTTAGTGTTGTGAACCCTTAAGAGGGACAGAAATTGTGCACTCGGGGAGCTCGGATTTTAAGGCAGTAGCTTGCCGATGCTCCCAGCTGAATAAAGCCCTTCCTTCTACAACTTGGTGTCTGAGGGGCTTTGTCTGCGGCTCATCCTGCTAACATAACAAAACCTACACAGACTCACAAAAAACTAAATGTTAATACAAAGGGTTGTCATTTGTCCCAGATTTTCAAACTATAAAAGATTTTCAAAATATATGTGTGTGTATATATGTATATGTGTATATGTGTGGGGGTGTGTATCTATATACACACACATATACACGTATATATACATACATACACATGCATGTATACATATACACATGCATACATATATGTGTACATACATACACATGTATACATATATACATGTGCACACATGTATACATATACACACATGTATACATATATACACATGTATACACATATACATACATATATACATATATGTATACACATATATATAGGTTTTAAATATACAAAAAGTAGCAAGTTTTGTTTAACTGAAGAGGAATCTCATCTTGCTGGAAAAGGACACTTTGGCAGTTGGGGGCAGGGGGGAATCTTGTCAGATCTAAGAAAATAGGAAACGCCCCTTCCTGGAGGAAGCAATCACCCTTTAACCTGCCTGGCCTAGAGGATGGAGAATCATTTGAACCCAGGAGGCAGATGTTGCAGTAAGCCAAGATCATGCCACTGCACTCCAGCCTGGGTGACAGAGCAAGACTCTGTTTCAGAAACAAATAACAAAAATAATAATAGGTGGAATGAGAATATGGCTTTATCCTGTAGAATAAAAAAAAAAAAATAAGTACTACTCCCATATTTGAGAAAAAGTATAACCATTTTTACCAAAAGCCTGCTTCACAAGTCTCTCCATAGTAACACCACTGTCTCCATAAGCGTAATGTGCTAAGAATAGTTTAATGAAGAATAGTTTAATGAACATAGTAACACCACTGTCTCCATAAGCGTAATGTGCTAAGAATAGTTTAATGATTAATCTCCTATTATTTATGTTGATTCCATATTCTTAACATGATGATGGAATCATTCATGTATCATTCATTTCCATTTTATTAATTTATTTATTTAAGACAGAGTTTTGCTCTTGTTGCCTGGGCTGGAGTGCAATGGTGCAATCTCAGGTCACTGCAACCTCCGCCTCTCGATTTCAAGTGATTCTTCTGCCTCAGCCTCCTGAGTAGCTGTGATTGCAGGCACATGCCACCATGCCTGGCTAATTTTGTATTTTTACTAGAGATAGGGCTTCTCCATGTTGGTCAGGCTCACTCAATTACCTAAAAATGTAGTATAAAATCAGGGAGAAAAGATTTCCATTATTGGTCTCCTTTTCTAGAATTTACAATGTACTCTGTGCACATGAATACATGACTTCCATTGGCAGCTGCTCTAATCCTGGTCCACAGAGAACTGACAGAGCATCCAGATGTGGCCCCTAGACAATCCCTGCTGCCCAACAGCACTGACACCACGGGACCCTCACCCCATCTCCATCCATGTCTGGTGTGAGCCCTTCCCAGGCCCATGCCCAGTGCCGCCTCTTCCCAAGTTCATGTCACTGGGTCACAAGAGATGGAATCTAAGCGAGATGAGAGGGACTGAGGGAAGGCATGGGTGAGTGTGAGCAAACCTGTCAGGCAGGACGCTTCAGACTCAGAGAAGATCCCCCACTCCAAGGCCCAGCATTTCTGAAAGGAAGGAGACAGAACAATCCACCGAGAATATCATCTCACCTGAGGAAGAGCCATCCCTGACTCCTCTGCTTTCCTCTTCCTCTTCCGGGTTTCTTCCTCACATACCAAGAGTCTTTAGAAGTCAATCCTGAATGTTAAAAATATGCTGTTTATTGCTCAGAATCAACACACCCCCTCCCTGTAACACAATGACACATACAAAGGAGACCTCAGTCTGAGGAAGTACGGTCCCCCCTGCTGCCCATCACACCAGGGATGATAAACCCCTATAGGAAACTCCCACTCCCCTTCAGGAGAAGCCCCCACACATGCTGCAGCAGTGGGGAGCTGGGTTGGAAGAAGCTCCCCTTCAGAGCACAGACCCAGCCCTGACCAAACCCCATGCAGAGGCTGGATGTGGTGGCTCACGCCTGTCATCTCAGCACTCTGGGAGACCAAGGTGGGTACACTGCTTGAGCTCAGAAGTTTGAGACCGGCCTGGGCAACATGGTGAAACCCCATCGCTACCAAAAATACAAATACTTAGCCAGGTATGGTGGTGCACGTCTGTGTTTCTGTCATCCCAGCTACTTAGGAAGCTGAGGTGGAAGCATCACTTGAACTCAGAAGTTCGAGACCAGCCTGGCAAACATGGTGAAATCCTGTGTCTACTAAAAATACAAAAATTGGGCCGGGTGCAATGACTCAAGCCTGTAATACTAGCACTCTGAAAGGCCGAGGTGGGTGGATTACTTGAGGTCAGGAGTTCGAAACCATCCTGGCCAATGTGGTGAAACCTTGTCTCTACTAAAAATACAAAAGTAGCTGGGCTTGGTGGGCATCTGTAATCCCAGCTACTCAGAAGGCTGAGGTTGGAGGATCACTTGAACCTGGGATGTGAAGGTTGCAGTGAGCCGATATTACACCACTGCACTCCAGCTTGAGTAACAGAATAAGACTCTAAAATAAAATACAAATACAAAAATTAGCCGGGTGTGGTGGCACACACCTGTAATCTCAGCTACTTGGGAGGTTGAGGCATAAGAATCACTTGAACCCAGGAGACAGAGGTTGCAGTGAGCCAAGATCACGAGACTGCATTCACAGCCCGGAGGACAGAGTGAGACCTTTTTTTTTTTTTTAAGTCCTAGTTTCTGATGTGATTGACACAGATAATAAACCGGAGTAATGTGATAGAGACTGACAGGCAGAGGGAACTTCAGATGGCAGTGGGAGGGCATGGGAGACATCTCTGAGCCTAGACCTGAAGGAGGAGAAAGGGACAGGACAGCATCATAAATGAGCTGCCAAGGGACATAGGGTAAGAGCAGGACAATGACCAGAGACAGGAAGGGTTTTGGAGTTTGGAAAAAGAGAAAAGCAAATGTGACTGGGGCAGAGGGAGTCAGGAGATGAGGGCAAGCTCCCAGGCAGAGGCTGGACACTGGCAGGGGCCCTGGACACAGGGCTGTGGAGCCACAGTGAAGAGCTGGACTTTTGTCCCAGGGAACACAGGAAGCCGGTGGAGGGTTCCCTGCCAGGGACTGAATGACCTGCTTTGGATTTAGCTGTGCTAGCCTCACAGTGAAAACATTTTCACAAGAGTTACCCTGAGAAGGTCTGAGATGAGTACGAAGATGTGCCTGAATTCTTACATGGGGGGCTGGAAGGGCTAATGGGGAGGGTTGGTCTTTATCACCCCATCCTTTAGAATTAGAGAAGTATCTTTCACATACCTGGGCTAAAGAAACTTCTTTTGCAAGGTTCTGATACCATTGATTCCCGACATTTAATTTTTCCTTATGAGAAAAGTACAGTAACATTTACAAAATGCAGCAATGTAAACACACAACTACTGACCTTGAAAACAGGGAGGCCGAGGTGGGCAGATCACCTGAGGTCAGGAGTTGGAGACCAGCTTGGCCTACATGTAGGAACCCCGTCTCTACTAGAAATACAAAAATTATCCAGGCGTGGTGGCACACGGCTGTAATCCCAGCTTCTCAGCAAGGCTGAGGCAGGAGAATCGCTTGAACCCAGGAGGTTGAAGTTGCGGTGAGCCAAGATCCCACCATTGCACTTCAGCCTGGGCAACAAGAACAAAACTGCATCTCAAAAAAAGAAAAGAAAAGGAAAG